TTGCCAAGACTGTGTTATTAAATCCACTAATGTTTCTAGCATTAACATTTTTACAAGGAATATTTGATTGTTTTCTGCATTTGTGTGAATACAGATTTATTTATTTTTTGCGGATTTTGTCGTACTTTTAATTAAAACATATGATGTAAGTTCTTCAAGTGGATATCCTGGCCCAATATCTCCTACGTCTGAATCAGGTGAAGATATCAAAAGTGACTATGATTTTGATTTTGCTCATTTTCTGAATCTGAAATATAATTTTCTGTGCCTTTGTTTTCTGCAAGTGTTTCTTTTGATTCCTTTGATGTGAGTTCAGGTGAAGATATCAAAAGTGACTATGATATCCATTTTGCTCATTTTCTGAATCTGAAATATAATTTTCTGTGCCTTTGTTTTCTGCAAGTGTTTCTTTTGATTCCTTTGATGTGAGTACCGTGTTAAGTGCCAAAGCCAAAACCTGGCATTGTGCAAATCCTGGGGGGAGGTATAAAATTTGGACTTGGTGGAGGTAAAATAATGGAGTGTGACGCTGTGGCTTGCAAAATCTCTGTTGATGTGGTGTTAGATTTCAAAGCAGATACCAGTTGTTAATCAGTAATTGAAAGCTGGTATTTTTATGGCAATTTTGATACTGACATATCAGAAGAATGAGTAGATTCTGATCAAGTTGATCTCTTTTTACTTCATTGTTTGCTAGGTGATAGAGACTTCTATTCCAACTATGTTCCTGTTTGGTAGTGACTTCTCTTTTTATTTTTTATTTTTCCCAACCATTTATTCATATATATATATAAACATGCAAACTTAAAAACACTAAGGATCTAACAATAATAAACAAAAACATTACAACTAAACATCCATCCTTCCTCTGGGGATCAGAGATTTCATTGTCGTCTGGTCATCTATCATCAAAGGCTTCTGGTGAGCACTGATTCACTATAGTGACTTCTGGGATCAGAGATTTCATCGTAGTCTGGTCATCTATCATCAAAGGCTTCCGGTGAGCACTGATTCACTATAGTGACTTCTCTTTTTAGATTGGCTTGTCTGATATCAATGCCGTGGGGATTGTCTCTTTCTTTCTTTCTTTCTTTCTTTCTTTCTTTCTTTCTTTCTTTCTTTCTTTCTTTCTTTCTTTCTTTCTTTCTTTCTTTCTTTCTTTCTTTCTTTCTTTCTTTCTTTCTTTCCTTCCTTCCTTCCTTCCTTTCCTTTCCTTTGATTGATTGATTGATTGATTGATTGATTGATTGATTGACTGATTGACTGATTGACTGAGGTGGGGTTCTCTGATCCTGATCTCATGGGGATCTGTCTTTTGAGTGTAGTCTGCTTTCTCTGTAAGACACAGGAGATGGCCAGCCCATATTTTTGTACAAGTAAAGTGGTGGGTAGAAAAATGGTACAAAGTATGGATTTGTATGATAGTGAATACACTGAAGGGGATCTTGAGTGTGGTGAATGCTGGCATGATGTCATGTTCTCAATCTCAATTCTTTTCTCCATATTGCAGATTCTGGAGGAGCTGTGGCAGGATCTTGTGCAGGTGACCCTCTTGGAGTTGACGGTCTTGGTGAAAATAGTGGTATGCTTTGTAGAGATGGGCTACATAGCTCTTCATTTCAAATCAAACCAACATTTTGATTTTTTTTTTCTTGTTGGCTTACTGCAGATTCATTTATCTGCAATACCGCTATTGGCTGTGCTTGAGGTTTTAAAAGCTTATCTTTCTTTATAGTTTTTTTGTTTTTGACATGTCTGAGTTAAACATGGGGACAAATTTTTAAAAAATGGATCACATTATTCTTGAAAAACCACTGATTTGGTAAACATTTGTCCCTTCATATTCATCAGTTCCAGAGACCCCAATGAATATGAAGGGATGGATATTTCCCCATTTTTATTTGTCCCCCTATGGCTTTCCCATTCTGCCTATGGACCTGCCGATCAGCTGATCAGTGGGCAGAGAGGCAGCCAGCCAGCCCCACAGCCACCCATCCCTACAGCCTATCCTCTGTCCCTTTCCCCTCCCTACCTTAGCTGCTGCCGCCATCCACCACCGCCTGGTGCTGCTGTCATTTACTGCCATCCGTTATCCATTGCTGACCACTGTGGTGGCCTCTGTAGCCATGACCTGCCATAAGGGACACTGGCTGCCCTTTGCAAAGATGGTGGCTGTGACTTCTTTTAGGGAAGGGAAGTTGCAACTGCCATCTTTGCAAAGGGCAGCCTGGATTCCCCTAGTCTGCCTTAAGGGAATCCAGGCTGCCCTTTGCAAA